AGAGTCCGGCCTGAACCAGGACTTTACTCCCTCCCCTTTTAGTATAAGAGAAGCCTGCATTCTACCTCAGGGAAAATGGTTCTTTGGGACACAAATCCACGACTTTCTCAGTCTGCTGGCTTTCCAAATAACGTCGCTATTCCTTGCCCGAATAACTCATCTCTCGATTTATTGGCCTGTTGTGCAGCAAGCAGTACGAACTTGGACTCGGTAACGTCTCAAGTGCAGGCATGGTGGCTGGCACAAAATAGGTGCTCAAAAAGAGTCATTAGAAGAATAAATGAGCTAATGAATGAATTCATGCCAACAATATAATTCTCAGGAGAGGCTCTAGGAGTAAATAAATTGCCTACTTTAATATGTAAAACTAACATTTGAATTTAATGTAATACTTTGTATGTTGATAATTAAGATATAAAAATCCTTTAAAATTCATAGTATTGTTAGATTAAGCAGTCTTTCTCACTTAACATTTGGTTTGGTTTATACCATCATTTTGCTTTCAAAACTCTTTAACTCAGCCCAGGCCAAATTATCACAAAAATTGTTTTTCCTTTATGTAAATATACCCACAGGGAAGAGGAAATAATTATCATTCAGAGGGATCAAGACAAGGAGCAAGTTCAAGGCAAATATCCAGACCCAAGTCAGAGTGCGAGCCAGCGCTCACTTGCGAAGACTGATTTTTTTTAAACCTTTTTTTTTTACGCCAACCCACAATCAGAAATACATTTTACCTCTGAACCCAGTACAAGCATTTGCATGCGTGCACACACACATGTGTAAAAATGTTTTATGAAATTATATTTCCCATTAATACAATGGTAAAATAAAAGCATAGCAGAGATAGTATTGCATAGTATTTTATTGATGTCTATAGAATATGAAAATTCAAAATAAACAATACAGAAACAAAAATTTAGACATGATATGTATTTAGCTTACCTGTGTGTAAATTCATCCCCATGGACTGAGAACAAAGCAGAAGGTACATCTGGTAAATCATCAGACCTGGTTCTTAAATCTAACCAAAACTGAACCCTAAAAATTCACCCAAATAGGTTGTTGTGATTGGTAACATAGAAATACTCTCTATTTAGCACTGGAAGTTTTTCTTTAATATTAATCCAGATGATAAACATTATGTCTTTTAATCATTCTTCAGTCTATGAATTAAATGCAGTCCTATATCCTCTTCATTGTTCATCAAGTTTAATTCAGTTATTGATTCAGAGTTTGAAAAGCAAATAGATCTTTTATTCAAATGTTTTTCTTTCAAGCTTCATGTTCCTCTAAAAAGCAATGATTGTGACTTTGAGAGAAAAGTGAGATGGAACAATAGATATCTCTAACTTTATGTCATTCAAACTGATTTCATAATTTTCCCATCTATGTGTTGCAGTCATGTTGGGAATATTCAGCGGCTAGAATAATTCTGCTTGTAAGAAAAATTTAAAGATTTTGGCATGAGCATCCTTTTGACAGAAGGCTGGTGCCTCTGGGATTATCTGATCCTATAGGGATACACACCTTTGGCTTTGACGAGGCTGTTTTAGAACTCTGGAAATTAACTTGAAGGAAACTCATAGCAATGCAAGTAAGCCTTGCATTTGACATGTACATAAATTCTGTTTAGCGAAGGTTCAGCTGAACTGCTGGAAAAAGAGGATCCACTTCCCAGCTGGCTTTTCCATTCCCACGTCTGGTGCTGTGGCCACGACGGCGGGAAGGCCGGTGCTGTTCAGAGGACCTACATGTGGTCTCTTGTGTGACTTGGGATTCTCAGAACAAGGCAGCTGTGTCTCAGGAGACAGCATCCAGAGACCGAGTGTTCCAAGGAACCAAAGCTGACGCTGCAAGTCCTCTTTTGACCTAGCCTCAGCAGAATTCACACATCATCACCCCCACCCCATTTTATTGGTTACAAGAGAATCACTAAGGGCAGCTGAGATTCAGGCAGAAGGGAATTCGATTCCATCTCTTGATGAATTACAGCCATCTCATAAAACTGCCACGTCCTTTGGAATCCTTGATAGTGTCTGACATGGTAAAATATATCATGATTTTCTTCCAAAACTGTAGTTAAGATTGTCCAAAAATCAGTTAAACGTGCATTTTTATTATCCAAATATCATGTCCCAAAATAGTTGCCAAGTGAGGTGGTACCAAAGTTTCATGATGAATAAACTATGGTTGTTAGTCATTTCAAACAATTTTTACTAACTCAGTCATATTTTCTGGTCATATTTATTGTCTAAGCTTATAATTCCTTTACAATTCTTCCGGTTTAAATAATAGTGAATTAACAATATATATTTCTGGCAGGGAGGGTATAGCTCAGTGGTAGAGCACGTGCTTAGCATGCATGAGGTCCTGGTTCGATTCCCCAGTACCTCCATTAAAAAAATAATAAATAAATAAACCTAATTACCTCCCCCCTAAAAAAAAATGTTTTTTTTAGAAAAAAACAGTACTTTCCAACTTGGAGATCATATCTAATCCAGTTGTGGTGTAATTAAATTTAAACAGCACAAGAAATCCTCTATAAAAATCATTTTGTCACTCATACCAGATCTAACAAAAAGTGTTGGCAATTTATATTAGTGTTTTTATCAAGCTGAATCACAACCCCTAGATCATACTATAATTGCATTAAAACATTGCTTCTTTATGTTCTGCAGTAGTATGGATATGATGAGATATTATGGGATATTAAGAGGTATAATTTTTAATTTGTCAGCTGATTTATCATTTTATCATCAAAACTCATATGTACTATTCCATACATCCAGGAAGAATAATTTTTAGCAGCTGTGACCCATTTTCTTTTTTGCCTCCTAATATATTGCTAAATAGATGATTATAAGGCTCTTTCATTAATAGTAGATAACAACTTAGAAATAATTGATAAATTTACATATTTTTCCTTCATAAACATGTGAAGGACTTATCAACAGAATAGCCTGTTATTTTCTGGGTGTGTTTTTAATTTTGAAGATTTTCAGTTTTCATTTGTAAAAATTTCATTACAAATTATATATCAAGTTTCTCATTTTTGTTAAGCTTTGCATGTTTTATTAAATCATATTTAAACAATCTTCATTATAAGGTCTTGCATCTACTTCTTTTTCAGAAAGCAGCTCAAATAAAATAAAAGTTTTTATTAGTCAACATTTTTCTCAATATTGTGTTTACATTTCCAGATCCAGCAGCTGAACTTGAACATATTTCTGTATTTTTCCCATCATCTGTTCTCTTCTAATAATGATAAAAAAAATCCATATAAGAGCAATGTATATTATTAGTTCAATTAAAATGATATAATAACAACAAGGTCCTACTATATAGCACAGGGAACTATACTCAATAGCTTATAAGAACCTATAATGACAAAGAATATATATATCTGTATAACTGAATCACTACGCTGTACACCAAAAACTAACAAAACCTTGTAAATCAATTCTACTTCAATAATAAATAAATAAATAAATAAATGTTTTAAAATGGAAAAAAATGTTAAGGTTATAATAGTCACAAACTGGAAAATAGTCAGATAACTTCCTTTCCATGAGCCGAGGCTCCAAGCCCCCAGTACCTGAATATTCATAAATCATCCTCATTTGAGAATCTTGACAATTTGCTAACCCAAATAAAACATTGCAGTTCTTCACAACTAGCTACACATGGTAATAATATACAATTAAACTGCACAATCTTAACATCCTGATAGGAAATTGATCAAGTTAGCTATCACATAACAGAAAATTGAAGGAGATGCCCAGAGCCAGCTGCATAATGAAAACGCAGGACCCTGATGGACATAAGTCAATCCTCCCTTTCCAAGGGCCCACCACCCCAACCCATGTCAGACAGGGGAGCCCAGGTGGCACAGGGGCAGAAATGAGGAAAGCAGGTGACCCGGGGCACCAAAGGGTGGTATGGAGGGAGTGCCTGAGAACCTGTCCCAGGAAGACAGGGAGGCCATGAGACACAGAGACAATAGGACGGAAGGCAGGGTCGTGCATGAGCCGAGGCTCCAAGCCCCCGGTACCTGCTCCACTGTCCCATCTGACTTCACTTAGAAAACACAGATTCAAAGATTAAATTATTAAGAACTTCCAGATGGTGACGGCAGCGCATTAGACCCCAAGCACAGGACGCTTCTGCATGTTGGGCCCTGACCCACCGCACTCGTGGCTCCCGCATGAAGCCAGCCCTGGAGAGGCCAATGAGCAAGAGAGCCAATGACGTTCCTGGCCAACACACCCCATCTCATAGAGCCGGTCCTCATATAGTTGCCAGCACAGCTGCAGGATGAAGGGTATGTGATGTGCTCTTCTAGTCCATCCTTTTTCATTTCTGGTCATGACCCACGTGTCTTGTCTAAGGGCTTGTCTCTCTTCGGGTCTGTCCCCATGAGTTGGGAAGTGTCAGGAAAGCAGCAAGAATGGGATCAGGAGTCAGGCAACGCAGGCCCTTGCCCTTAACATCCCACACCTGGGGTACATCCCTTCATCTCTCTGGTCCTCTGCTTCCTTATTGCTAACTTCCTCATCTTATAATGCTGGCTTCCTTATTATTAATCATTAATAAAAGGGTCAGACTAGGTCACCTCTAACATTCTCTCCGGCTCTGTTTCTGGGAGAAGAAAACAACTCAAATACATGTTTGGCAAAAGACATTTGGCCTCTTGACTGTTTTATCTCCACTTTTAATGGATTTGTCAGAATTAACATACTTTGATTCATCAAAGTATCTGACCTGTTTGGTGTGATGTTGTTGCCACACAAAAGACAAAAGGCAGGAGGTGTGAGTAATTTGGATGTGTGCGGGCAATGGGAGCTCGCATTTCCTTAAGGCCTAGAGCAGACAGGCTCATTCTATAACCACAGGTTTTAAAATAACAATAATTAGTACCTGAGACAGTTCTTTTATCTAAGGTGCTCAAAGGGCCTTGTGGTCATTAACCCATTAATTCACCTGCCTCAAGCCATCAGGGGGTCAGGAGGAATCTCCTTAGAAGACCAGCACGCCAGGAACTAAAACCTCACAACAGTGAAGAATGACCATGACTAAAGGTCATCAGAAGGGGTGGGAGGAGGGACGGGGTCACCAAAATAGTCCTCTTGGAAGAATTAAATGGGAAATTCCTCCTGTTCGTCAACTAACAGCAGTTTCACCACTCACTAGGGTCTCTGAGTGAATTCTCCAGGATGTCACATTTCATCATCTGGAAAATCTCTCTACCCTTCATGTAAACTTCAGATGAGCTTTTACAGCTCCAGACAGATGGTGATTATGCCCAAAGCAAGGAAAGGGGAGGACTCATCTCCCTAGAACAATCTTATCTAGAAGAAAAAAAATGGCTTTTCAAAGTTCTGGAGTCTCTAATGACAGAACACCACTTCAGAATGCATTTGCCCAGGGTTTGTTAAGATTCTGATTTCTTTGCAGGTGGTTTCCATTAAAAAGCATTTGTTGGAAAACCATGCTGCTAAAAGTACCTTCACATGGCTTGGAATTCTATCATTAGAATCCTTCAATTAATCAGCCCATCCATCACCTAGCAGGTGCTCCACTCAGGTCCAGGTGCTATGGGGACCAAAAAGGTGGACCCTGACCCCCAACCAACTACAAATCTAATCAAGGGGTAAGACAATCACAAATAAAATTATTGATACACCTATTATTTATTATTTTACATCCATGTGTTGCTTATATTCATGAATAAACTGAGCAATGCAAATAAAATGGCAGAAAATAGTATTTCCATCATTTGTGTGGAACAGTGCAGACCCTAGGAGTGGTAGATTTCCCGGGAGGAGTGGTCAGTGGGAGCCAGAGGGATCAGAGAAGGCAGGAAGCTCACAGAGGAGATAAGGTGAATTCAACCACAGAGGGAGGGCAAGTACTTGGGTAAGAAACAGGATCCATGGGAATAAAACAAAAAACTCAGGGCCGAGGCCACATCTAAGAGAAGGCGAGCAGATGGGAGCTCGTCTCCACATGAGGCAGCAGGAAAACCAACCTAAATAAAACACAGGGCCAGGAGACCTGAAAGAAGCGTGGCTGGATGTGGAAGGGAGGCTAGATCACAGAGGGACCTGGAACCAGGCCAGCAGGTATTGATTAGGGGTCTTCAGAAGTCCTCTGTCCAAATGCCAATATCCAGGAAGAGGACCAAGGGGTAAGTTTGAAGGGGGCTGGGGGCAGCCTGCGGCCGGTATAGACGGGCTACTGCTGCGTGCTCCGGCAGTGCCACCGCTGGAAGAGGGGGCTGTGTTATCCCATTACCAGCGGGAACTTTGCATTGCCAGTTCTTCCATCTTCGGCGCTGGGAATGCCTCGATGCAGCAGGACCCAGAAAAAGTGCATTCTGATGGAGGGGCAAGGAGAGCAGGAAATTATACCAGAGGCTTCAGCACCTTGAGGAAGAACTGGTCCAGGTGGGGGTTCACACCTGATGGGTGGCCAAAGTCTGAGGAGGACTTCCAAAGGAGACAAAAAGAAAGTGGCAGAGGAAAGAGACGGATTTCCCCTTACTCACCATGCTGCCAACCCCTGGCCCTTTAAATGCATATAACCCTTCCTTATGGCCCAGGAAAGCCCTCATTCCTTTGGAATGGAGGCTCTTTTGGATCTTATGATCCAAACCAAGTTGTAGGGAAGACTCTGGAGAAGGCTCTTGAGGGAGAAGTTCAGAAGAAGAATGAAGTGTCCTCCCATGAGGCCAGTGGAGGGCCTCCTGCAGCCTCCGGTCACATGGGAGCCTGTGGGAGAGAAGCAGTCTTTCCTAAATTCACCCCCCTTTAGGACCGCCTTGAGGCCAAGGTGCCCCTGGTTAGCAGCAAAATGAAAAATAATTGTTCTCAGCAAAAGAAATGTAGGAAAGCTGTTGGGAAACTGGGGTAGGTGTGTCTTTCTGACCTTCCTGTTCTTTTTATAGGCACCGCAGGAACGTGAGTGAGGGCCTCCATCCTTCCGCCCACCTGGGGAGAGATTAAAGACGCTGAGGTTGTCTCTGTCTTACTCATTGGAGTCACAACCTCGCAGCCACTACAGTCTCAGCTCCCTGCGTGGACACCGAGGAGGTAAGTCGGAATGAAGGGGCCGGGTCCTCAGCTGTCAGCCTCGATCACTCCAGCCAGCCAGCTTGGAAATGACTGAGGGGCATAGAGCTAGGGGCATTCAACTGCAAGGTACTTTTTTCCGAATGGATAGGTGTGATTTTTTTTCTTAGACAACACCAGTCAAGACATAGAGTTTGGTGCTAAACTGTCCAAAAAGTTAATTGAAGGCAGAGACAATTTTGTAAAGTTCTTTGACAGGCCAACAGTGGGTATTTAACAGGAATGGTTCACACTGGATTGACCTGAATTAAAAGAAGGAACAGTCATTAAAATGACTGGGAAAAATCATCTGCCTGTCTCTGCAAGCCACACACCACGTCTTGAATGATCATATGGTCCATTAATGTTGACAACCCTTGTCCGGGAGCTTGATAAACCTAGAGACCCGGCAATCATGCAAACGTCATGAAAAAGATTCAGCCTTAGGATTCAAAAAGACTTGGTGGAAACTGTAACGAGGAAATGGGTGAATTATCCAGAGTCCTTAAGCGAAGACTGTTCTCATTTGCCTAGCAGGATGGAGCTGGGCTTGTTTTAAGGATTTGATAGTTTTGAGCAATTTCATTCAGTATGTTCAGATGTCTTCAGAAACATTAGAGTGTCCTGCACAGGACTACCCAGCAGGCATCCTTGTGGGTGGATGTAAAGTCATATTGGTCTTACCTTTTTTTTTTTTTTTTTGCGGGCGAACAGAGGACCATTCCTGTGAGGTCCACCTACAAGTCACCATGTATGAGGAGTGCCAGGAGTCCACAGGGGACTATTACTTCCTCTGTGACACCGAGGGAGCGTGGGTCACTGTTCTGCAGTCCCTGGCAGCAATTGGCATAGTGGTTACAATCATCCTACTCTTGACATTTCTCCTCCTCATGCGAAGGGTTCAAGACTGCAGCCAATGGAATGTCCTCCCCACCCAGTTCCTCTTCCTCCTGGGTGTGCTGGGGCTCTTTAGCCTTGCTTTTGCCTTCATCATCCAGTTCAATCATCAGACGGCCCCCGTACGCTTTCTCCTCTTCGGGGTCCTCTTTGCAGTCTGTTTCTCGTGCCTCTTGGCTCATGCCTCCAACCTGGTGAAGCTGGTCCGGTGTGGAGTCTCCTTCTCTTGGACCACAATTCTGTGCATTGCCATTGGTGTCAGCCTGTTGCAGACAATCATTGCCACTGAGTATGTGACTCTCATCATGACCAGAAGTATGGGGTTTCTGCATATGACACCCTATCAGCTCAACGTGGACTTTGTGGTCCTCCTGATTTACGTCCTCTTCCTGATGGCCCTCACGTTCTCTGTCTCCAAGGCCACCTTCTGTGGCCCCTGTGAGAACTGGAAGCAGCACGGACGGCTCATCTTCATCACTGTGCTCATCTCCATTATTATCTGGGTGGTGTGGATCTCCATGCTCATAAGAGGCAACCCGCAGCTCCAGCGGCAGCCCCAGTGGGACGACCCCGTCGTCTGCATTGCCCTGGTCACCAACGCGTGGGTGTTCCTGCTGCTGTATGTCATCCCGGAGCTGGGCATCCTCTACAGATCGCGTAAGCAGGACTGCCCTCTGCAAGGCGATGCCTGCCCGGTGCCAGCTTACCAACACAGCTTCAGAGTGGAGAACCAGGAACTCTCAAGAGGTACTTCCCGGGGGATGCAGGGAGGCTCTCCAGTGAGAGAAACAGGAGCAAAATCAGGGCAAGAGGATGAACAAAGAGGGGAAAAAAGGGGGATGGTCAGAACTTAGGTGAGTGAAGAGATACTCAAGTATGGAGATGAAGACACTCAAAGTCAAGGTTAAACTTTCTTTAAAAATCAGCTCTTCCAAATCACAGAGATTTGTGGGGAGAGGCCAAGACAGAAAGGAGTCAAAGGCCCTAAATAAAGAGGGTGTGTCTCTGAGTGCTCCTGCTGGATAAAGAAAGGCACCCACTATAAAATGCGTTCACCAGCACCAAAGTAGGCTTGGACTCCGCCATTGCATGGCACGTCATGCTAAGTCCAGATGTCTTGGCCATCAAGTGCAAAGTCAACCCTGGCGACAGTGACTGGCATTTTGAAAATTTAAGTCTCAAAGCTAATTTGCCCAAACACCACTCTAAACTGATTCGTAGGATTCGTCACCTCATTAAAATCACAAAGCCCAGTAACGTCTGGATTTCCACTTCTCTAGCTATTCAGTCCTTGAAAGCCTTCAAGTGCACAAAAAGTGACAGGAAGAGCCATTAAGTCAGAATCCTGAGCAAAGGCTTGGATGGCTAATCATTAACAGAAATAAAGAACTTGCTTATGTGACATTTTCATAATAAGTTCTGGGTCAGATTTGTATCCTTATGTAAGGCCAAGCCACCTGCCTATACATTGTTAAGGAATAAAATAGATTACGCATGGGAACAAGGCGGCTTGGACCCCAATAACCCGGGGGAATTAGTTGCTAATTCCAAT